TTCTATTTGCTCAGCCTACTTTCTTATTCTTTATAACACTGAATACTCCAAATTATTTATATATGCATATATAAAAATAAATCTGATTATTGTATATCTCCCACTTTAGAATAGGAGCTTATCCTTAAGGGCAGGAACTGCATATCCCAGCTCCTGGAGAGGGTAAATGAGGCCCAGAAATATCTGTTGAATGGCTGCTAAGTAGACAGTTCGCTTTCCTAACAGCTCTCCATATGCCAGTCTCCAAACAATGACTTTCTCTCATCACTAAAGTGAGTTTCACTCAGCAACAATTGCTCTCAGTTATCAGTGCTCATCACTGAGTGCCAGACTACTAACAAAAAGACAGAGGATTGCCTGGACCAGCTATGCCGTGACTGCACTGTCTCACCCACCCATGTCACTACCGCTGCCATCCCCAGAGGGCTGCTTGTTAGGGACAGGGCTCCCAACTTTGAGGCTAGTATCGTTGTTAGCTGTATCTGTTCCCACAACTTTCTAGGAGACCTCTGTGGCATACTTTCTTCCCACCCTCGGGACTCTACATCAGTGTGCACCATGGAGCTTGGCAGAGCAGCAAAGCTGGCCCCAGAATTTGCCAAGAGCAATGTGAAGAGCACTGTCTGCCCTTGCAACAGACAGTGCTGAAGACCATCTTGCCTAGAAAATGGATATCAATATTTATAATGGCAATGAGCCCACAAAAACATGACCTTTTCCATCATTTGTGATAAAGATCAGGACCTCACCATCTTCTTGGACACGCTGGATCCTGCCGAGATGGAAGATAAGGGCACGAATGTAGCAGCTGTGGTGTTTATTTTTGGTCCTGACAAGAAACTGAAACTGTCTACCCAGGTACCACTGGCAGGAACTTGGATGGGATTCTCAGGGTAGTTATCTCTCTCCAGATGACAGAAGAAGAGAGCGTTGCCACCCTGATTGATCAGAAGAATGGACATAATGTGGTGGGGCATGGTGGCTCATGCCTGTAATCCCAGCACTTTAGGAGGCCAAGGTGGGCAGATCACTTGAGGTCAGGAATTTGAGAACAGCCTGGCTAACATGGTGAAACCCTGTTTCTACTAATAATACAAAAAAAATTAGCCAGGTGTGGTGGCACACACCTGTAGTACCAGCGACTTGGAAGGCTAAGGCAGGAGAATCACTTAAACCCAGGAGGTGGAGGTTGCAGCGAGCCCAGATCACGCCACTGCACTCCTAGGCAACAGAGGGAGACTCGGTCTCAACAAAGAAAAAAAAAAAGTTACAGAAAAATAAACCTGATCAGAGCTGTTCATTACACCTGCCTGGTACTGATCTGGAAATCATAAACATATGGATATTTACCTGATAATCAAAGAAAGATACATTTACTATAATTTCCTGAATTAGTCTGAATAAAATAAAATACTGCTTTTTGTTTTCTGTTTTTTTTTTTTACCAAGGCTAATTTTTACTTGGGAAATAGAAGTGCAATTGAAAACCTGGCTTTTCTATAGGCATTTCCTCCTTGCAATTTTAAAAATAAATTTCTTCATTTTAAGAACCAAGCTCAAGCACTCACCGGAAACATGATATACAGGGGCTTAATGTTCTTTGAATTTTGGTTCAAACTTTTTGTACCTAAAAAAAGGAAAAAGGAGGGCTGGGCGTGGTGGCTCAAGCCTGTCATCCCAGCACTTTGGGAGGCCGAGGCGGGTGGATCACGAGGTCAAGAGATCGAGACCATCCTGGTCAACATGGTGAACCCCGTCTCTACTAAAAATAAAAAAATTAGCTGGGCATGGTGGCGCATGCCTGTAATCCCAGCTACTCAGGAGGCTGAAGCAGAATTGCCTGAACCCAGGAGGCAGAGGTTGTCGTGAGCTGAGACCGCGCCATTGCATTCCAGCCTGGGTAACAAGAGCGAAACTGTTTCAAAAAAAAAAAAAAACAACAACACTTTGGGAGGCTGAGGTGGGTGCATCACGAGGTCAAGAGATCGAGACCGTCCTGGTCAACATGGTGAAACCCCGTCTCTACTAAAAATACAAAAATTAGCCGGGCGTGGTGGCATGTGCCTGTAATCCCAGCTACTCAGGAGGCTGAGGTGGAAGAATCGCCTGAACCCGAGAGGCAGAAGATGCAGTTGGCCAAGATCGTGCCACCACACTCCAGCCTGAGTAATGGAGTGAGACTCTGTCTCAAAAAAAAAAAAAAAAAAAGCAAAGAAAAGAAAGAAAAAAGTCACAATGCCAAGTGATCGAGACTTTATTGTGCACTCTCTAAATATTGCTATCTGGTGGATGCTTCAGGTGCCCCTAGGAACTTTGCTTGCTCTGACTGGTAGCTGCGAAGTATTTAACAAACCCTGGACACAGGTATTTGTCTTCTCCTGTCATCCCATATGTCATGTAGCAGTGGCCATTGCATTTCAGAGGAGTAGCACACCCCAGGATGACTCTTGTGGTTCTCTGATTTTTGGGAAGTCAGACATTTGGTTTGAGTCCTTTACATCCATGGACATAGGCAAAATTATAATGGTCGTCAGAAATGCCTAAGTTCAAACGACAGCTCCACTGCTTACAATTCATGTAACCTTAGATGTGTTATTGAACCTCTTTGAGCCTCCACTTTTCTAATCTGGAAAATCGGGATAATACCCACCCCACACGTTATCATGGAACTTAAGAGAGAAAATAAATATAAAACATAACATTGAGTACTGTGACTGATGCAGAGTAATAAATTATTCTGGCCACTACTCCACCTGCTCCCAAGATCCTAGTTGATTTTAGTGCTATGGACAACTGGAAATGGACTGCCTGGGTCAAATCCTGGCTCTGCTAGTATAGCTGAGTGGCTTTTCTCAGCATAGAATGGGTATAATCATAATATCTTGCCTTAATAGTTTGCTGTGAAGATGTAATGAAGTAATACACAGAGTCTTTATGACAGTGCCTGCCATACAGTGTTACAAAAGCATTTGCTTCTATTTTTATTAGATCAAAGGTTAAGTCTGAGAAGAATCTCATTATTGAGATTGTGTAGTGGAGCATGCTATAATTACTGGCATGTCTCCCTTCACCCATGAAACCTTCCCAAATACCTACTTCTGCCACTCAGTCAGTAACTCAATAATGTATTTGTATGAGTCATACAGCTGCAGGTTTCCTTAGCACTTGAATTACATTATGATACCATGGAAGTCACTGCAAGTTCCAGTCTGAGGCAAGGTGGTATCTTAAATAACAATGGATTTCTTTTCCCTCCCTTCCCTGCTTCTTTCTGAGACGGAGTCTTACTCTGTCACCCAGGCTGGAGTGCAGTGGCGCAATCTTAGCTCACTGCAACCTCCACCTCCTGGGTTCAAGTGATTCTCTTGCCTCAGCCTCCAGAGTAGCTGGGATTACAGACACATGCCACCATGTCCGGCTAATTTTTTTGTATTTTTAGTAGAGACAGGGTTTCACCATGTTGGCCAGGCTGGTCTCAAACTCCTGATCTCAGGTGATCCATCCGCCTTGGCCTCCCAAAGTGCTGTGATGACAGACATGAGCTACTGCACCCGGCCCATAACAATAGATTTAAAGGCAAATGACTTCAATTTGCATCCTGGCTGTGTCAACTATGTGTCCATAAGAAAGCAACTCCATTTTTCTGTAATTTAGTTTCCTAATTTTTAGTAGGAGACTGTACCTACCTCATAGGTTTGTTAGAACCTTTAAGTGACAAATACAGACTTCCAAATAACCTATAAAGCACTAGTTGGTCTTAAAAACAATTTGAAATAGTCACTTAAAAAATGATCAGCAAGGCCAGGCGCAGTGGCTCACACCTGTAATCCCAGCACTTTGGGATGCCGAGGTGGGCGGATCATAAGGCCAGGAGATTGAGACCATCCTGACCAATGTGGTGAAACCCCGTCTCTACTCAAATACAAAAAAATTAGCTGGGCATGGTGGTGCATGCTTGTAGTTGAAGATTCGGGAAGCTGAGGCAGGGGAATCTCTTTAACCTGGGGGGCAGAGGTTGCAGTGAGCAGAGATCGCACCACTGCACTCCAGCCTGATGACAGAGCCAGACTCCATCTCAAAAAAAAAAAAAGATCAGCAAAGCACTTTCACCACTGTTATTATGTTCAGAGGAATATTTTAATCTCTGTGCTTCTAGCACACTATTGCCTCAGTTCTTAGCCACTTCCTTGCATGGTAAATCAAGAGTAAAACTGCACGATATTGGGAAAGAAGAAAAAAGAGGAAACAGAAAGTCAGTAGTTAGCCTAAATGCAAAAAGTGCTGGCAATATCTGACCCTGATATACTCACAAAAATTTATTTTTATACATTCTTAGAAATGGGCTGGGCACAGTGACTCATAATCTCAGCATTTTGGGAGGCCAAGGCGGAAAGATTGCATGAGCTAAAGAGTTTAAGATCAGCCTGGGGAACATACGGAGACTTCTACAAAAAAATTTTTTTGAGACAATCTCTCTTTGTCACCCAGGCTGGAGCGCAGTGGTGCGACCTTGGCTCATTGCAACCTCCTGGGTTCGAGCAATTCTCCTGCCTCGGCTTCCTGAGTAGCTGGTACTACAGGTACCTGCCACCATGCTTGGCTAATTTTTGTAATTTTAGTAGAGATGGGCTTCATCATGTTGGCTAGGCTGGTCTCAAATTCCTGACCTCAAGTGATCCGCTCATCTCGGCCTCACAAGGTGCCAGGATTACAGGCGTGAGCAACTGCACCTGGCACACACAAAATTTTTTTTTTAAGTTTGCCGGGTATGGTAGTGCATGCCTGTGGTCCCAGCAACTCAGAAGGCTTAGGTGGGAGAATGACTTAGGCCAGGGAGGTGGAGGCTGCAGCGAGCCATGATTGTGCCACTGTACTCCAGCCTGGGTGACAGAGTGAGATGCTGTCTTAAAAAAACAAAAACCCAAATCCAAAATTTTCCTGGCATTCCCTAGCAAGCAGACTCAGAATGAGGAGGGAAAAAAAGAAGAAGAAAAAAAGTACCTGGCTGAGAGAATAAAGGAACGTTCCACACTTTCAATCTTTAATTCATTCTGATAGGCTTCTTGGGTAGGTTTTCTGACCTGAAAGAAAGCACAACAATTTGAGCCAACTCATCTGATTGAAAAGCACATCAATGAACTGCAGCTGAAGCTGTCCAATGCCCCTGGCTGCTGACATCCACAACCAACCTTCCTATCCAGCTTTATCTACTGCTATTCTCCTTCAACTACTCTATGCTTCAGATGAACTGAAAAGCCCACACATGGACCCACCTTTCCCATCTCCAGGACTTTGCTCACAATACACCCTCCATCTGGAATGCCTTTCCCCAACATCTTAGCATGGCCAAATGTGATGTATACTTTAAGGTCCACTGTCTCTTCCTCTTTTTTTTTTGAGACAGAGTTTTGCTCTTGTTGCCCAGGCTGGAGTGCAGTGGTGCAATCACAGCTCACTGTAACCTCTGATTCCCTGGTTTAGGCAATTCTCCTGCCTCAGCCTCCCACATAGCTGGGATTACAGGCACGCACCACGATGCCCAGCTAATTTTTGTATTTTTAGTAGAGATGGGGTTTCACCATATTGGCCAGGAGTCTCAATCTCCTGACCTCGTGATCCACCTGTCTCGGCTTCCCAAAGTGCTGGGATTACAGGCGTGAGCCACCATGCCTGGCCTGCTCTTCCTCTACTTTCTCCTTCTTTCCTAGCTGCTACCAAAAGCTGCATGCCAGTCCCCACTATGACCATCAAACACTACAAGTTCTTTATTTTCTGAACTCCCAAAACTGTAATTGTGCCACTACAGTGATATTTATTACTGTCTACTTTATGGGTATTTATGTGTAGTGTGCTATCAGTCCAACTAGTTGTTAAGTCCTTGGGGTGGAGAGACAGTAAGAATCATGCTTCAACTCATCTTTGTGTTTTCCACCAAACCCATTACTATGTTTTGTTTATAGTAGTTCTCAATAAATATACTATGAATAAATTAATGCATGAGTGAACAAATGACTACATGAATGAATAATCAAATGCATAAACAGGTTGGGCTTGGTGACTTATACCTGTAACTCCAGCACTTTGGGAGGCCAAGGTGGGTGGATCACTTGAGGTTAGGAGTGTGAGCCCAGCCTGGCCAACATGGTGAAACCCCATCTCTACGAAAAATACAAAAATTAGCTGGGCCTGTGGTCCAGCTACTCAGGAGAATCTCTTGAACCCAGGAGACAGGTTGCAGTGAGCAGAGATCGCACTACTGCACTCTAGGGCAACAGAGTGAGACTCTGTCACAAACAAAACAAAACAACCAAATGCATAAACAGTAACATAAAAGTAAAGGATGTAAGAAAAATGTTTATCTTAGGGAATTTTCTCTAAATACATCATGTATTTGTTGGTGTTGTTATGGTTGTTGTTTTTAATAGAGATGGGGAGGTTTCGCTGTGTTGCCCAGGCTGGTCTCTAACTCTGGAATTTAAGTTTTCATCTTGCCTTGGTCTCCCAAAGTGCTGGGACTACAAGTGTGAGCCACTATGCCCAGCCTTTATTTGAGTTTTAAAAACAGATCATCTGGCTGGGCGTGGTGGCTCACGTCTGTAATCCCAGCACTTTAGGAGGCCAAGGGGGGCTGATCACTTGAGGTCAGGAGTTTGAGACCAGCCTGGTCAACACAGTGCAATCTGCCTCTACTGAAAATACAAAAATTAGCTGGGCGTGGTGGCAGGCACCTGTAATCCCAGCTACTCAGGAGGCTGAGGCAGGAGAATCACTTGAACCCAGGAGGCGGAGGCTGCAGTGAATTGAGATCATACCACTGCACTCCACCCTGAGAGGCAGAATGAAACCTGGTCTCAAAATACAAAACAAATCATCTAACAGATACACAGACCTTCAGTCCAGCCAGTGAGAGCATGTTGTTCAGTTTATACATCCCGGACTGCACTGGTGTTGTATACAGCAGGGCATCATTAAACTGAAAGTAGAAACATTTCACGGGTCAAAGTAAAGAAACACATTTCCACTGCAAAGATTTTTGACAAGATACAGGATTAAAGGACAAATAATATCTCTTTGCTAATAGCTCTCTGAATAAAATACTTATATTCTGCTATATACACTAGAACTACGTAGAATGTTTTATTAGAATATTATTTAAAAGGCAATTTCTGGAAAACGTGCTTTATTTCCAAGTTCTATAACAGATTTAATGTTTTTTGAATTCTAAATCCCACTAAGGTATTACAGTCTGCCTAAATAAATGATTATAACAATTTTTCCAAGTTAGAAATGAAATAAATTCCCAAAGGAAATAATTTTCTGGTTATGCATTATAACAGCTTTTATTTTCCATACTTGAAATGCAATAAGCAGCATGGCCAGTTAAAGAAGCCACCAAGGCTGACGTCTGAATGTGCTAAGCTTACCTACCACGAATAAACATCTCCTTTCCTTAAGCAACTATCCCTACCTCAAACACATCAGAACTACACAAGTCCTCTTACCAGGAAAAACATTCGGGGTTGCATTACTTTCCGAGACAGCTTCATCAGAATTCCTTCTTTGAGAAAAACCTGATTCATCCAAACAAATACCCATTTAGTCCTACATAACACAACGACAATATAATTTCCTTTTCAACTTTCTTCCCCAAGAATTTTTTTCATGACAGCCTGGGGAGACATAGTCCCCTTGAGATTTTTTACAATCATAGTTAATTTTAAACCCTTAAGTCATTTAGGAATCGGACAAGCAAGCAGGGTTGCATAAATCCAATATTGGCCCCGGGGATGCTGTATGGAGGGACATGGAATTGACTGAATGTGTACTTGATCCTGAAGCATATCCAACATCTTGACAACTGCATTTTTACAATTTTCCTGAATTCATTCCCTAGGGTACTTTTGTACTATATGAGGAGCATCAGAATACCAATTTCCTCCCTCCCTTCATAATCCTCTCTTACATTAAAGATTTTAAATGAAATTGTCTTCAAAACTGTGTGAGGTCAGCTGGCATTACACAATAAAGCGATCCCATTAAATCAGATACTCTGTGGGGCTCCTTGCCATTCTCCTAATTGAATTGGACTTACTTCATGAATGGGCTTATTCCTAATTGAATTGTCACAGTGACTTACATCATGAATGTTTTGAACTGATAAAGTGATCAGGACTGAATCAATGAAGAATAACAAAAACAACCTATTTTTATAACTGAAATGACAAACAGATACAGATGGTACTTAAATGCATTGTATCAAGTTTGCAAAAAGCAATCTAAAATGCTTACCCGACCAGGCTGCACAATTTCGTGGTGTCCATTTAAGCTGTATTGAATTTGCATAAGTTTCTGAAAGTTGTCCTACAGAAAGACAATGTAAAGCATATGAAGGCCTGGGCTTTCAGGTTCAAGACCACACCAGTCACTGATAACAAGATACTTACTCCTTGCTTCATGGTGTCATTGGCATGGTTGGCTACTTCTATAACAACAGCAAGGGCATCTGAAATAGGTAGGAACAGAAGGTGCATTTAGTAATTACAATTGAAACAAATAATTTGCAACATTAAGCAATTCCAGGGGACAAGATAGCTAGTTTATAGCAACCAACCTCTGGAGGAGCTTAGTTGACTGTGAATAGGCAAAAATATAGGGTTCAATGAAGGCAAAACCAAACCAAACTAAAACAAAACAAAAACCCAAAAATCTGGCAAAAATTATAGGAAAAAAATAACCAAAAGAAGCCTCTAAAGAAACACTGTAGACCATGTTTATCAACAGTATGAATGCCAGGGCTGTTTTGTGCTGTGATTCGATCATCCCATAAAAGTTTACAAGGATAGAATGGGATTTCACCTGGAAGTGAAGAAGTATCCCAGTATAACCTGTCCTGGGAGAACAGGATCACGAGGGAAAAGGATCTTGATGGAACCAAGAACTATGAAAAATGAATATTTAAGATCAGGTCTCAGTCTCCTCCTCTTAGTCTGATTCCAAGAGGCATGATTAGAAATTGGGGAAATGCCACATGAAAGGATCCTAGATCTCAGAAATTTACAAGTGTCATTTTGTGAGTTGGATTATTAGCTTCACGGGCCTATCTGTGTTTCATTATTTGTATTAACCCTTTGCCTTTAGCAAAGTATTTTTCCATACTCCAGTCTTATCATCTTTGTAACTAGGTCTAAAGGAAAAAGTCTGCATTTTGTCAGCTTTGGGGCTGCAGTTATTCTCAACTCAAGACCATAGTGCTCCCTTAGGGACATGTGAACATGTATAAAGACAATTTTTGGTTGTCACAATGACTGGGAAGATCCACTGGCTTTTAGTGGGTAGGAGGCAGGGATGCCAGACTCCCTGCAATACTCATTAGAAACCCAAACAAAAGTTACTCCGTACAATATGACAGTAGCATTCCCACCGAAAAAAAACTGGTAGAGTGTTAGAGAGGAAAGCATGCCCTCCTGAGGATGTTGTGGCAGTGACAGTGGTCATCAACAAAAGAACTATTAAAAAAAAGTATTGGCTGGGTGCCATGGCTCACGCCTGTAATCCTAGCACTTTGGAAGGCTGAGGTGGGCTGATCATTTGAGCTCAGGAGTACGAGACCAGCCTGAGCAATATGGCAAAACCCTGTTTGCACAAAAAATCCAAAAATTAGCTGGGCATTGTGGTTCATGTCTGTAGTCCCAGCTACCTAGGGGGCTGAGGTGGGAGAATCACTTGAGCCTGGGAGGTCAAGGCTGCAGTGAGCCCAGATCACACAACTGCTCCAGCCTGGGTGGCAAAATGAGACCCTATCTCAAAAGAAAAAAATAAAATATCAATTTCTGAAAAGGGGTTGAGGTGTTTTGGTCCACTTACTGTAATCTACCAAAGGATTGTCTTCCTGGTACCAACCCTTGAGGTTTCTGTATTCTTTCAACATGTATTATCATCACTATTATTAAAGGAAAGCAGGTTTTTCCTTATGTAGAGACTCCAACTGTATATCACAGTTTTTTTGTTTTGTTTTGAGACAAGAGACTTACTCTGTCTCCCAGGCTGGAGTGCAGTGCCAGGATCTCGGCGCACCGCAACCTCCATCTCCCAGGTTCAAGCGATTCTCATGTCTCAGCCACTGAGTAGCTGGGATTACAGGCATGCACCACTCTCACCCCATGGATTTTTGTATTTTTAGTAGCAACAGTGTTTCGCCACATTGCCAGTCTGGTCTTGAATACCTGACCTCAAGTGATCTGCCTGCTTCGGCCTCCCAAAGTTCTGGGATTACAGGCATGAGCCACTGCACCCGGCCACTGCTACCCGTTTGATTGCTGTGCCTCTGGCCATACAGTAGACCTCACTGTTCACTGCTTATCTCATCTATGTCTTTGCTGTAGTGTGTAATTTTCTTTAAATAAGCTCCTTAATCTCTGACCCTGAATTTGTTTTATGTGGAGCTAATAACTGACTTTCATTGAAGGCAGAAGCCCAGCACCCACGACAGATGTTTTCTTTCTATTCCATAAGTTCCGTATACTATTTGTATCCTCACGAGAGGAGCTGCTGTCTGGAACGCTTGCTCACTTTTCCTCCCACCCACTCTCCTACTCATCTCCAGTCCTACTTATTCCTGCAAAGCTTCCCTGCCTCTTTAACCTCACTTTTCTCTGTCATCCAAATGATTCTGTCCTGCTCATTGCACCCTTACTCTGAAGCCATTTGCTTTGTTCTTTATTGGATGGGTATTAAAAACTTTTTTATCAACTTGATATGTTCACTGGGACAGGAAATTTGTCAGATCCCCAACCACATACTTTTCCTTTAAAAAAAAAAAAAGCCTTTAAAAGTGTAACGTATGCAAACAGAAGATGTTAGAGAAGTAAAATGATTAAGAGAATAAATAAGAATCTCTATAAAATGGGTTAAAAACGTTCATGTTTTACTCTGCAAATGTAAAGGATATGTAAGAATGTGATCAGTCTGGGTGTGGTGGCTCATGCCTGTAATCCCAGCACTTTGGGAGGCCCAGGCAGGTGGATCGTTTGAGCTCAGAGGTTTGAGACCAGCCTGGGCAAGATAGTAAAATCCTGTCTCTAGGAAAAGTACAAAAGTTAGCAGCGTGTGATGTTGTGCACCTGTAATCCAAACCTGGGGGGCTGAGGCAGGAGAACCACTTGAGCCCAGGAGGTTGAGGCTGCAGTGAGCTGTGTTCATTCAGGCCATCGCACTCCAGCCTGGGTGACAAACTGAGACTCCGTCTCAAAAAATTTAAAAAAAGGGTTATCAAAATTCATAAAATTAATAGACTTGTTTAATATGTTTCTGCAGTTAGCACCAGGGGTTGCTGGGCATGGTGGCTCACGCCTGTAATACCAGCACTTTGGGAGGCCGAGGTGGGCAGATCACTTGAGGTCAAGAGTTTGAGACCAGCAGGGCCAACATGATAAAATTCCATCTCTACTAAAAATACAAAAATTAGCCAGGCATGGTGGTCCATATCTGTAATCCCAGCTACTTAGGGGGCTGAAGCAGGAGAATCACTTGAACCCAGGAAACAGAGGTTGCAGTGAGCCAAGATCACACTATTACACTCCAGCCTGGGTGAGGGTGACAGAGTGAGACTCTGTCTCAAAAAAAAAAAAAGAAACAGGGGGATACCTGTGGTATTTGAATGAGGTGTTGGGGATAAACAGAAAGACTCAAACAGAATTAATCTGTGTGTATGTGTGTGGATCTGTGAGGGAGGGAGAGAGACACAGACAGACAGGAACTCCGGTTATTCTGCTAGCAATGAGTCCCTCATGCTGTAATGGACTGTTTCCCTTAATTACTACTGGGGTGAGGGAAGGCTAATATCCTATTGTTAAAGAGTCCCAGAGTAATATGCTTTTTTAGACTTCATCCCTGCTTTGTAGTTTGCTCACTTCATGGACTCATGATTTTGAAGCTTGAGGACCTTGCAGATCTTCTAGTTCAATTACTGCTTTCAAAAGGCAAAGAAATGGACGCCTAGGGAAACTGGATATGGCACAGACACAGAGTAACTGAGTATAAGAGGGCAAAGCTTCCTGACCTCAGTCATGCTGGGTCCACACTTGCAAGAGGCTGGTTCCCATGCAGGACTGGCCTTGGGTCTTCCCTGTCTCACCTATCCCTAGCACTACTTTACTACTTATCTGGTTCTATGTTAATCTGCTCAAAATGGAGTTTTCAGAAAGGCCTCAAGTCTTTTGTTTTCATTTTTTTTTTGAGAATGAGTCTTGTTCTGTCGCCCAGGCTTGAGTGCAGTGGAGCAATCTTGGCTCACTGCAACCTCCGCCTTCCGGGTTCAAGTGATTCTCCTGCCCCAGACTCCCAAGAAGGTGGGATTACAAACATGTACTCTCATGTCTGGCTAAGTTTTGTATATATATATTTTTTTAATAGAGAAGGGGTTTCACCATGTTGACCAGACTGGTCTCAAACTCCTGACCTCAGGTGATCCACCCACCTTGGCCTCCCAGAGTCCTGGGATTACAGGTGTGAGCCACTGTGCCCAGCCTTCAAGTCTTGTGAATAGAGTTTGTAATGGATTTTGTTATCCATATATATTTACTTTCTAGCCCTACCTAAATAAACATAATATAAAAATTTCTGCAACCACAGAAGTTATTTACCTTGAGTATCTCTGTAATCTCCAGCATATTCTATGAGATTCTTCAAATAATCTAGAAAAGAAGAAAAAAAAGTATTGGAGTACAATAAACCAATGAGCCCCAAACACATATCTTTCTTTTTCAATACTCCATTAGTCTTGCTGGTTAATATATATGCTAGTCCAACTTATGCTAACTTTCTAAAAATGTGAAAAAATAAAGTCCTAAGGTCAATTTGAAATCAAGACAGAATCAGAGCTAGAAAGAGCCTTGGAGGAAACACTGGTTATTTCAGAGATGAGGAATCAGATTACTGAGCAAAGGATCTCACCCAAATCACACAACCTCTTGGTGGCTGAGCCAGCATGAGAATTCAGGTCTCCTAATGCCCAGTTCAGCTTTTATCCCAGCACATAGGAAGAACCTTAATCTTGAGATCAGACATATGTCTAGTATAAAATTCTAAGTCATTAATTTAATCTCTAAAAGACTCCTGGATTTATTAATCTAAGGGTCTAACAATGCTCAGGACACCAAGGGAACTCAATACATGTATTTAAACAGGTGGTTTTCAAATGAGGACAAATTTTCCTCCCAGGGTATATTTGGCAATGTCTGGAGACAGTTGTAGTTATCACAACTGGGGAAAAGGGGGTGCTACTGGTAGCTAGTGGTTAGAAGTCAGAAATGCAGACTGGACAAGGTGGCTCATGCCTGTAAACCTAGCGATGGAGGTAGATTACTCGAAGTCAGGAGTTCAAGACCAGCAGGGCCAACATGGTGAAACCGTGTCTTTACTAAACACACACACACACACACACAGAGTCAGAGATGTTGCTAAATATCTTATAATGACACCCTGCAACAAAAAAATTATCTGACCCCAATTATCAATAGACCTGAAGTTGAGAAACCACGGTTTAGATGAAGATAGTCTGTAAATAAGTAATATGGCATATAGTAGTTCTGATAATACAGAAAAAAAGAACCCTGAGGTATTAGAGGAACCTATATTTAACAAATCTTTAACACCAAGGAAAGTCATGGAATTTCAAGGCAAAACTTCCTTCTCTGCGGAGAAATGCTAGATGGACTCCCATTACATGTCAAATTAATACAAATTCCTTCCTGTAATTTAAAGCCCCCCACTACATGGTCTGTATCAATTTTCTCTCTTGCCACCACCTAAAATGGGCCCTTTCTTCTGACATTTGATTCTGTGCAATCCCTTAAACACTCCCCAAGTGTCCCCTGGCTTCACATTTTTTGTCTCTAATAGTCCCTTTTGCACCATCCCTTTCTGTCTCTGCATATGCAAATTCTACTCATTTTCTTCAAGGCTCTTCTTAAATCCCCCTTCTCTTACAAAATTTCCATTTGAAAGAAACATTTTCTCCCTCTGAATAACACATGACACAGCAGTCTCACTTTATGCTTTAATCATTTTCTTTTTCATTAGACTCAAAGCTCCTTGTGAACAGGTCGTCGGATACATCTTTCTCCCTCACACAGCACTTAGCCAGGGGCTTTGCACAGGGTACACAATAAATGCTTACTGAATAAAAACAATTCACTTATTCATTCAAGACAGAGTCTCACCCCTGTCGCCCAGGCTAGAGCACAGTAGTGCAATCATAGCTCACTACAGACTCAAATTCCTGGACTCAAGCAATCCTTCTGTCTTTGCCTCCCAAGTAGCTATGACTACTGATGTGTGCCCCCACGTCTGCTTTTTTTTTTTTAATTCTGGCCTCAAGCAATCCCCCTGCCTTAGCCTCCCAAAGTGCAGGTATTACAGGCAAGTGAGCCACTGCACCTGGCCAAGAATATACTATTTTTTAGATAGGACTGTATTTTATTTTTTTGAGACGGAGTTTCGCTCGTTACCCAGGCTGGAGTGCAATGGTGCGATCTTGGCTCACCGCAACCTCTGCCTCCTGGGTTCAAGCAATTCTCCTGCCTCAGCCTCTCGGGTAGCTGGGACTACAGGTGTGTGCCACCAAGCCCAGCTAATTTTTGTATTTTTAGTAGAGACGGGGTTTCACCATGTTGACCAGGATGGTCTCAATCTCTTGACGTCGTGATCCACCCACCTTGGCCTCCCAAAATGCTGGGATTATAGGCGTGAGCCACCTCGCCCGGCCGATAGGACTGTATTTTAGTTGAGGTAAAAGGCAATAAGGGCTGAAACCAATTCTAATGCCAGTGGGAATTGAGAAAATGAAAGGAGGAAAGGTGGTATATTCAGAGACTAAATACATCTTTATCGGGCCCAACTGCTAGTTAGTAATATTATGGAATAGATAGAACTTCACCTCATGGATTTATGAACTCATGCTCAAAGGAACAAAAGAAAACATGGATGTCAGTGCCAGATCTTCAAACGTAACAGATGACACAAAGACATGCCTGACTGCTGAAACTCTAAGTCTTTGAGACAGTGATCTAAGAGCCTGTGTGAGTCCAGATATGGACATTATAAATATCCAGCACTGGCAACAAGCCATGATGAGATGTCATGTATAACCATATTAAGCTTCCCTGCACCATGGCAAAGGTTCTATCTTGCCAGAGACCATCACTAGCAATTTAGATCTTAATTTGAATGCAGAGAGTATCCCCCTCAAAATATAAAGGAAAAATGAAGCAGGCACATACATAAAAGAATTAAAAATAAAAAAAAAACCAAATTGACAAAATTACAATTTTTAAAAATTAAAAATTGAAAAAAAATCCAAAATGACAAAATTATACATTACACTTAGCCTCATCCGGAGATGAAAATAAACTTATTCTCACTCTGACACCATTCAGAATGCATTCGATATGTTACATAAGCTGTGTTTGGTGAGTACCAACATCTAACATTTGTACTGACAGCTGACAGGGTTAGGGAGACAAACTTACTCTCCCTATTAGATGTTCTCAAATCCTAAGCTACCTCATTAATCAAGTGATTTTCCTTAAGCTGTTAGTTAGCTGAAGAGAAAGGAATGCAGATTTACCTAAATATCAGACCCACGGTGAGTTTCTATTTTGTCCTAAATTTCTGTTCTTTAATACAGAAGTAGATCCTTGAAAACAGACGTTTCTCTAAACCAAAAGGGCTCCCCAGAGGATGTCCATATTAGGAAATCCTGACCTCAGAATCACTGTGCTGAGCTTGATAAGCTTCTAAGTTGCATTTTCCTTGCTTGTACTCAACATGAACTTTTATGAACACAATTTAAGTACACTGAGCAGAAAACCCACCACTAACACGTTGCAGCATCATGCTATGAATGAAGGAAGTAATGGAGTTATGTTTACCCTCCTTGGCAGTTTTTAAAAACATCTTAATGCTCTCCAAAATTCAACTCTCCAACTTCCAAAATTCCTTCCATCCATCTATCCATCCATCCATGTTTTTAGGGCATCTTGTTGCAGTGTATCTTTTTAAGTACTTTTACCTTGGTAAAGAGTAGGACTAGTATCTCCTTAAACAGTTAAGAATCACCTGGGGCCTTAACTGCAGCATGAGAATGTGACTGATCACCCTCTGAGTCAGATGGAGGAACAATGAAACCACTGGCTGCCGCAGTGACTGTTATAACCCAGGTGAAACCCAGGAAAGTAAACCAGACAGACACGCCTATATTGGTCATAGGAAATCATCCATTACCTATCACATAGGACCTGGTATTCAGCAGAAACTTTCCTAAGAACAATGAGGGGAACAGTCATTTCAGTTTGCCCATGTTAAACTGGTAGTATTCTATGACTTTTCTGTTCATGCCAAAACAAACTGAGCATTATTCAAAATTTCAGGCCAGGCGTGGTGGCTCACACCTGTAATACCAGCACTTTGGGATGCCAAGGCAGGTGGGTCATGTGAGGTCAGGAGTTCGAGATCAGCCCGACCAACATGGAGAAATCCCTTCTCTACTAAAAATACAAAATAAGCTGGGCATGGTGGCACATGTCTGTAATCTTTTTTTTTTTTTGAGACGGAGTTTCGCTGTTGTTACCCAGACTAGAGTGCAATGGCACGATCTCAGCTCACCGCAACCTCCGCCTCCTGGGTTCAAGCAATTCTCCTGCCTCAGCCTCCCGAGTAGGTGGGACTACAGGGGCGTACCCCATGCCCAGCTAATTTTTGTATTTTTTTAGTAGAGACGGAGTTTCACCTTGTTGACCAGGATGGTCTCGATCTCTTGACCTCGTGATCCACCCGCCCTGGCCTCCCAAAGTGCTGGGATTATAGGTGTGAGCCACCACGCCTGGTCTGGAATCTTAGCTGCTCGGGAGGCTGAGGCAAGAGAATCGCTTGAACCCAGGAGGCGGAGGTTGCAGTGAGCCAAGATCGTCCCGTTGCACTCCAGCCTGGGCAACAAGAGCAAAACTCTGTCTCAAAAAACAAATAAACAAACAACAACAACAAACTTCACTAATAAAACTGCCTCAAATGCCACTGAGGTTATTTTTATCCAAGGAAAAAAACCCACGAACATCGGTTCAGTGTGTAGGTACACTACAAAATATACTCTTTGGCCACCAGGTGGCATCACTGATTAATAAAAGTTAATTAACTGCATCACCATCACCCAACCTGAGTAATACACAATTTAAGTGGAACACAAGAACACACTATGTGCAACTTCTAGAAATATGCAAGTTACCTTTTTCTTTTTTGAAGGAGGGTCTCTCTCTCTTGCCTAGGCTGGAGTGTGCAGTGGTGTGATCAATGCTCATTATACCTTCAATCTCCCAGGCTCAAGCAGTTGTCCCACACCTCAGCCTCCCAGGTAGCTAGGACTACAGGCCTGTACTACCATGCTGGGCTAAGTTTTTACTTTTTTATAGATAAGAGGTCTATGTTTCCCAGGCTGGTCTTGAACTCCTGAAATCAAGTGATCCTCTTACCTTGGGCTCCCAAAGTACTGGGATTATAGGTGTGAGCCATGGTGCCAGTACAAGTTAATTTTGTTCTCATATAGAATGCTCAAGGCCGGGCGCAGTGGCTCATGCCTATAATCCTACTACTTTGGAAGGCTGGGGTGTGCAGATCACTGGAGGTCAGGAATTCGAGACTA